GAGGAGGTGCCCTGTGCAGGGCTCCTGGTCCTGCCCAGAAGTGGCCACTCGGAGGAGGGAAGGAGGGCTCCTTGCCTGCCGTGTCCCTCCGGCACTGCTGGTGCCCAGGGCTGGAGACCAGCTGAAAACACAGGGTTTCTTTTTCTCCCCAAACCAACTAATTAGGTGAAAGCCACTGATACATGCAGGGCTTCAGAAGGAGTCTTTGATGAATTAGTTATTTCTCCTGTCTCATCGCCCTTGTGTACTGCTGCAACGTCTCACCTTCCCCGGACTGTGGGAACGCACCTTCCCAGCCAGATCCCCGTGCCTTTCATCACCGAGGGCTGAACTTTATTCTGGGAAGGTTCCCAGTGAAATCAATTAGGTTTTGTGCAGATCAAGGTGCTGCTGAACATGATTTGCAGGTACCAGAGCCTGCCTTTGGGTGACCATGGCGTCTGCCGGAGCTCCACGGTGCTGGGCGAGGAAAACAGGCTGTCACTGCGCTGACGTGGGGTGTTGAAACAGCTCCAGTGTTTGGAGCTGCCAACTATCAGGCCTATAATGTATGTCCTGAAGCAGTCAAAGGGGTTTTATGAGTGCAGAAATATTAACAAATCGTTGGTTATTTAAAGGGAATCATTTAGGGCTCATCTGGCTAATGAGGAAGAAAAAAACGGAGCTGAGCACTTCTCAGTTGTAGGGAGACGTATGAGATCAGCTGTTGTAGGAAGCTATCAGTGAACACACCTCGTTAGCTCCCTTGTGTAAAACTCCTTATCTGCCTCTTATTAGTCTTTCATTAATTAAAGCTACAGAATTCAGTATTTTTTTGTTGGCTGTTCCCTCAGCATGAAACTCGGCTAATTCTTCTACTGCTGGAAACAAAGCTCCAAGATTGAAGTTTATTCTCGTAGTGTTCTTTCAGTTATTTATTTCACATTGCTGTCATGCATGGATGAATTTATATGATGCTCTGATGACCTTTAGAAATTCCTCTGATTAAATGCTGTTCTACTTCATTATGACATTTCTGTACTTGTACTACCCGATTTGATGTGTACAGCTTAATAACACAACCAGACATGAATGCTAATAACTTTACAATTCATTGCATTGCTATTTTTTAATGTAGATGAATTTTAAAACAAGTTTCTCTTGCTGCAGGCTTACATGAATCATATAAATTAGAAGGTAACAAAGGAACATATTAGCATTTGTTAGCCTGGATGCACAAATTTTGTAGTAACCATTTTAATATGTACTACAACTTTTCCAGCCTCAAGTTTAATATGTACTACAACTTTTCACCCTCGATTTTTCAACCAACATCATAATTGAATTGGTTTCCTTCTTGCCTAAGGATAATGATTTTACACTGATGGAATCATTATTAGATTCTAAGGATTATACTGATGATGCCTGTTTTACATAGGGCTAAAAAAATTAAAATTATTCAACTGTAAAATACTCCTTTACACAAAGGCTATGTAAGTTGGAGATAAATGAACTAATTATTGTGTTTAGAGTTGTTGTTAATATCCAGTATCCATAACTGGAGCAAACTTCTTGCTGTAGCTCTTCTGTGCAGGGATTGCAGGGGGCTTTTGAAACCCCCACCCCATCTCTTGTCCTTGAAGTCTGGCAGGGGGTGAGTTGCTGTCGTGGAACTGATGCTGTGCAAGCATGTGTTCATCGAGGCAGGAGATGGCTTCCTGCAGATCTTCACAGAAACTGCTCAAAACAGCTCCTTATCGACAGACACAACCTCCAGTAGTGGTGGGATGAGAAGCAGAGGAAAGGTGGAAGGTGGGAAAGCAGAAGGCACTACTTAGGGAAGAAGCATCTTTACTGGTATGGATCTGGTTGTGAGTTCAGTCTGGGTTTGGAAGGCATGCCCATGTTCCACCACACCTTCCTAAGGGGTAAAACTGGTCCAGAGGAAGTGAGAACCAGCTCACCCGCATCCACCACTTCAGTCTGCACATCCACAGCTGCTCCTCGGATGGAGGGAGGGAAGAACAGCCCAGGTTAAGCATAAATGATAGATTTCTGCTATCCTGAAAACCGCCAACATTTCATGGGTAATTACACTACAGGCTGCAGAAATAGCTGTTGAATTAATTGATTTTACAGTTACATCCCGAGGTGCTGAGTGGGTGTTGGTCTGCGTGGATGTGTCAAAATAACATCTTCAAAAGTCTCAGGGGTAAAAGACATTTACCTCTATCTGTTGAATAATCAGTAATTAGAATACAATATAAATATCTGCAACCTTTCAGCGGAAAAAAAACAAGAAGAAAAACTTTATTATTGCCTTTAAATATTTTAATTTTTTTTTTTTTTGCAATTTTTACTTGTCAAATACAGAGTTATCTGCAGCTGAAATTAGTTAAGTATAGCCCCTCTTCCTCTGACTTTTTCAAGATGGAGGTTAACCTCAATTAAAAAAAAAAATTAAAATCATGTTTCTTTAAGCATCTGTTTAAAATCATTTTAACCCGTAAGTGAGAGACCAGTCAGCATAAAACTACAATGCTCTTGTGCATGATTTTTTAGATTTAGATTTTTTAGAAGCCTTTGTGCTTCATTACTGCAGCTGGGTGGTCAGGGAACATGATTGCGTCCCCACACTTAAGCTTCAGTCAGTTTTATTCACTACAAAAATAAGAGTAAGGAGCTGCACCAGTTGTAAACTTGCACTTACTCCACTAATTGTGTCTAGAGTGATCAATACATGGAATCAAATTCCATGTCCGTGGTGCATTAAGACATTATCAAACTCCTGTGCTTCTCAGCTGCTTTAATATGGCTCGAGGTACAGCACAGAGCTCCCCTTGTATGTGGTTCAATAGTTTCTTTAATCTGAGATGTAAACTTGTCTTTGAAAGTAAAAAACAAGCTGACCTGAAGGTAATAGAGCTGCATTGAATTCATCTCAAACACCTGTTAAATTTTCTTGACACTATTACCCTTTTCCTTAGGAAACTTCAGAGTGTTCTTGATTAATGATAAAAATAAGGAAAAACAACCTATAAAGGGAAACCAAGAGAACTCAGTGGCCCATCTACTTTCAACCTTTTGCTCTTTGTCCTGGGTATTCTCAGCAAAAGAAACAAAATCCCATCAAGCTCTTTTCAGCACTGCACAAGGATTTAGACTATTTCCTATGCTCAGCTCTTTGTAACAACAAAACAGAATAATTAAGGTGGTTCTAGCGATGTTAAATCAAGAGGAGAGCAGGAGGCAGGATCTCTGGATTCCGAGCCAGGCTCTGTGACTCAATTATTGAACAACTTGTGCTAAATTGTTTAACCTATTTGCTGCTGCTTCCCTGTCTTTAAGGTGAGGGCACATTAAGTTTTACCTGCCCATGGCATGACTTGCTGTGATTGTTGGCTTGTATTTGGGGGGCGCTTTGGGAACACAACTCTCTCTCTCTAACGTGGCACTGAAGTGTGGATCTGGCACCCACTTTGGGGTTTCCTTTCTCCCTGGAGCTTGAATCCTTCTAAAACCTGGACAAATTTCTGTAGCTCTCTGGAGGAAGAGTCAAATTTGTTGTTGCAGTGAAGCTTCGTTACAGACGTTTCACGTGGGATCGGTTGGTGAAGCCGCTGCCGCTGCTCTGTCAGAGAAGGTGGAGCTGCAGAGAGGCTTTAAGCTGAGTTTGGGGGATCATGAGGAGGGAGTTGCTGCAGATTTGCCATGTGCTGTAATTAAAGGGCTGCTGTCAGAGGCCAAGCAGGCGTAAAAATGTTCCTTCCTCGGCTGCTCTTCCCTCTGGTGAGTTCATCTTAATTTTCAGCATTTGACGGCGAATTGAACGTTGAGGTGGAAAGGGGAATGTCTTATCTCAGGGATGCTGTGGTGGCTCTTCATGCTCTTTTGGGGGTGTCCAGTCTGTGCAGGCATGGGGGGAAGGAGCTGGGACCTTGATCTACCGCCCAGTCTCCCAAATTATTGTAAGGCCTCTCTGGGGACTGTGCTGCCAGCAGGAGAGGGCTGGCTGTGCCCCACTCGTTTGAGCTGAACAACCAGACACACTGCACCAGCACCAAGGAGATCTTGGACCACGGGCTCGGGCTTGGAGACAGCCTTGTCCTTGGCACAGCTCATCCCAAGAGGGATGTATCAGGTCTGTCCAATGGACAGAGCTGTTCCTAAGAACATGTGTCAACATCGGGCAGACCAAGCCCTGGAGGTGTTTCTGTGTTGGTTTGGACATGGATCAGCTGAGCAGGAGCTGGCTGGGATCCTGGGAGCAGCACTTGCAGAGTCCATCTGAGGAGCTGAGGGGAGTAGCAATGTTTTAGCAATCTGTCCATCCTGCAGCTGTGTGCTCGGGCAGAGAGAGGGCCATGGCCAGCCAAAACTAATTTAAAGCTGCATAGAGCTGACACCAATTGCTCTCACAGGAGTGACTACAAGGTAGATATCTCCTGGAGCTCTCTCCCTACCAGGTCAGACCATGCCTTGAATAATCTGGGTGCATTCTGGCGGACTTGTGGTCTCTCTCTTTCCAAAAAACAGGAGTAGAGTTCAGCATTTACACGAAGGCAGCCAGAAGAAAAGATTTATTCTCCCATTGATTTCTTCCTAAACATTTCCTTTGATGCAAGTGTTTATATTGACAACTGTGTTTTATAATTTGGGAGCTCACTTTAGGCTGAGATGGTGCATTGGTATTTAATGCACAATGCACATAGTTTAGATGGCATGCATTAATCATATTCCTATTGTCTTTGTTATGGTAATGGGAGAAACAAGCTCTTGTTTGTTTGTTGGTTTTTTGTTTTTTTAAATTTAAAAAAAAAAAGGGAAACAGGCTTGACTTTTTTTTTTTTTTTTTTTTTTTTTTTTTAAGATGCATTGTATTTCAGCAGCTAATGAAGAGGAAATAATGATGAGTCTGCACTGTGATATTAGAGCACTAATTAGACTATACAGAACTGCTTACGGATGTCTTTGAAACACCTGCTTGGTAATTTTCATCCCCATTTTCCTCCCTTTACCAGGGCAGGCGTGATGGGAAGACAGAGTTAAGACTGAAATATGAAACATGTGAACTCATCGCCCTCCAATGTTGTCCTTTGTTCACCCAGCTTTATATGTGTCTAAGAAAAGGTTAATGTGAATGGTCACTGCAGTGCCCTTTCTGTGTGCTGGGATTTCTGCTGCCCATGGTAGGTACAGGGAAAGGACTCATATATGTTGTTTTCTAACTTCCCTGGGACCATCCAAAGGCAATATGGTTTCAGAACAAGAATTCCCAATTCAGGCTCTGGTTTTGCGTGTATATTATGTATTGCATCTCCAACATTTGCTTAGCACTGATTTAGTTTGGAGTGTGTGTTTTCGAGACCATTAAAAGCTGTAAATCTAGAAATAATGTCAGCCTTCATTTTTAAAGCTGTTTTGAAGTTGTCTTCTTTTACTGTCATAAGAAACCACAAATATTTCCACTCTGTATCTTATTTGCTTTTACATTTCTGTCAACTATGTAAATAATTGAATTCTAAACATGAATTGCAAACGTGTCCAAAATCACATATCAGGCAGACAGCAGAGTTCCTAACTCAGCCATGTCTCCCAGCTTACACTGCAGCCAAGCTGGTTGTAGGTTGTACAAAAATCCACCTGTATTTTATAAGATGCAAACATTGGCTACATATTTTGTAGCCTCTAAACATGATTGTGTTGCCCACAGTAATGAGACTGACAGGGACTCCTCAGTATTCCCCCATAGTGAGTCTCTGTGATGATTCAGCTTCTTTTTTCTCACAACTTTTCCCAAAGGAAACTTTTCTCGACTGCACCGTTCGTGTGTTGGAGGAGGAGCAGCTGTTTGTGCCTGAGCAGAGCCCAAATGAGAATGCTAAAGGTGAGCAACACTGATTCAAAGCTGGTCTAATTTTTCTGATTTTGATGATGAAAATTTTCAGTGAGTGCAATAAATCCCGAGACAGTCACATGTTTAAATGCGGCATAACAACATTTCTCATGGAATGATGCATTAAAAAGGAATAGGCAATATTTTCATCTATGGGTATATCAGAATCTTTTCTCTGTTTTGAAATGTTTGGTACTACTTGAAGTTTCATAAAACCCCATTTCAGGTGGTCCCTGACAGCTACAGCTGCTTTCATCCTATTTGTAAGATCATATATTGCAACCCACACAGAGAGGACAGAGTTGAAAAGGAGAAGTCTGTGGACCTTCAGCTGTACTTGGTAGCATTTGAGTTCCAGAATGGGAACTGATTTATCAGCTGCCCAAGGACCAGGTGAGAGGGAAGAGGTGAATGTAGAGGGGTGCAAAGTAGCATCAGATGCTACTAAACAGGTGCGGGTTTGCTGAAGGGAGAGAGGAAAGGGAGGATCTCCTCAGCATGGTCTGATCCAGCCCGTGGTGCTGTGCTGGATGGTAGATGTGCAACTTGGAGGGAGACATGTGGAACCTCTCAAGGTGCTTTGAGGTGACAGAGCAAAACCCTGAGACTTCACAGTGTCCAGTGTTGTCCTGAACACATGCCCCAGGCACTGCAGTAGTGGAAGGTGATGCCTTTGAGTAGGAGGTTTACAGGCAGAGATAACAGAAAATTTACTCCAGCATAAGACAAGGGGTTCATCTAGATACAGCAAGTGTTTAAAAACCCAGACCAAAGCCCCAGGCAGTTTTGTCACGTTCATCACCAGGATGAGTGGTGTTCTCAGCACACCAGGTGCCTCAGCACCATCAGTGCCTGTGGAGGCAGCAGAGCAAAGCATAAAAGCATTCGTTCAAGGGAGCTGGGAGGCCAAAACCTGAGCCTGCCAAAGCCCCAGGTGGATGTTCTGCCTTGCTAAGCGAGTCTGGTGGCTCGGTGACGCCACTGAGTGTCCCCAGTGCCCCGTGTGACGCTGGTGGCGCCCCTGAGAGCTGCAGCTGTCAGAGCTGAGCTCGTCCGTCAGTGAAGTGCTGAACAAGTACCTGGAGGATTTCTGAGTGAGGCACACTTGTCTTTCAAATGATATGCTTCTGGAGTTAGGGGCTTTCCTTCAGTCATGTGAGAAACCATGCCAGCATCACGAGAGGAAGGTGAGGGAGGGGAAGGCAGGCATCTGGAAACAGGGCTTTTTAACTCCCACTCCGTGCAGTTGTTCTGGGAAGTCTGGGGGGGGGTTGCCTCTGCTCCCAGTGCTGGGGGGTGTGCCTTTGTTGGGGGGGGATGTGAGACAAATCTGTGCCCATCTCTTTCTCCCTTGTGGCTTCAGAAATTGTGCTGTCCCTTCAGAGGGGATGGGACCGTGTGCCATCTCGCCAGCATAAGAAAAATGACCAGTCCAGAAGGACTGAAATAACCCTCTGGAGGGTATCCACTGCTTTCTGGGGTTGGATCAGTCTCTCCAGGGGTCCTTCCTACCAGCCCTCCAGTGTATTTCAGGACAGTCCAAGGATCTTGGCTTCTATTTCTGTTTAACTGCTCGCCCATATCATCAGTGTACCGAGACATGAGCCATATCAATCTCATCATAAACCCAAACAAACCAGCAGTCGTTCGAGTCCTTTATCTCTTAGCAGGCAACAGCCAGCCCTCACCTCTTATCCGCCCTGCACACATACAATTTTTCTGCAGCCTTCATCAGCACCAGGAATTAACAGCTGAGACCAACATTTATCTCAGTAAATCCAGCGTGTAGGTCTGCCCCTCTCCTGAATATTCAGATATGCAGCCACATCAGTGCCGCTCATTTGAAGGCAATGACAAGGGTCATCATTTTATTCTTTATCTCCCGCTTCACCTGCTCCTGAATGCTGAAGGAAAGGAGGGAACAGCATCCTGGGGAGCTCAGTGGTGTGGATGACAACCCTGCAATGCTCGACTGTTCATCAGGGTGTCATGGGAGGATGAGGAGGAGCAAAGGCACTGCTGAACATCCGTGCCCAGAGCCCTGGTGGTGCCAGGGAGGCGGTGCTGGGGTGCTGGTGGGAGGGAGATGATGGGTGTTAGCCCTACCAGTTCCCCCCCAGCCACGTGGCACGAAGCCAAAGGGCACAGAACTGCCTTGTCAGGTAGGAAACCTTCGGCCTGGTCACAAATAAGCTTGATTTCCGAAGATGAGAAAGGTTAAAACTGAGTTTGAACATCTCCAACTTCCCCCAGGGCTGTGTTTTCCTGAAAAGACAGCGGGTCTTGTTCAGCTGCTCTTCACTTACATGCCTAAAAAGATTCAGCTGTCATAGCCCTGACAAGCACTAAAAAGCTCTTTGTTAAGGTCATGAGCATCAGAGAGGTGTCTCTCCTACAACATCCCAGTGAACCAGGGCCACTGGCACTGGGAATGGGGGCTGGTGTCAAGACACTTCGGTACAAACAGGACTGTGACCTGATGTCCCAGCACGGCGGAGCTGCTGCTGCTCCCACTGCTCTTCCCGAGGGGAACCATGTAACGCTGCTCCAGCTAAGTGCAAAAAAAAAAAAAAAAAAAAACCACCAAAACCCCCTCTAAACATCCCTGACCTTTAAATTCAGGCTGCAGCGCGTAGATCTGCTGCTAAACCAAAAATCTGGGGTTGCTTTCATGTGTCTTGAGCGTTCGGGGAATAGATGTAGCTTAACATGCAAATGCTGGGCTTCCTGCAGCACGCCGCTGCTTTTCGAGCTCTCTCATTTCATGCTGTTACCTCCATCCCTGCTGTGTCTGTGAAAAGAGCCTCTCTGAGGAAAAAGTTTCCCACAGACAGAAATCCGACTGATGTGGTTAATAAAAAAAAAAAAAGAAAAAAAAAAGAGAAAACAAACCCACAACCAACCACTTACAGTTTAATTTCTGAAAATGTGTGGTGTCCGTCTGCAACCCCGCAATCAGCATCTTCTCTGCTGCTGGTGTGGAGAGACCAGCCCCCCTGCTGCCTCAGGTTTCTGGGGATGTACTTTATGTATTTTGTCCTCATCTGTTTAAGTGAGTAGGTTCTGAAGTTGGGAGGCAGGACTCCTGTCCTAGAATAGGTGTTCAGAGGAATATTTCCCCCCCTGTGAGCAGTGATGCTCCAGTGCCTTTGGTGTGTTTATCTGTGCATCCATTTTTCTCTGTGTTCAAGTTACTGTGCTCACAAAACTTTAGTGTTCTGCACAGATAGAGAAATGGATGTCTCTTGTTCTGGGTAACAAGGGGAAATGGCCTCAAGTTGTGCCAGGGGAGGTTTGGATTGGGTATTTGGAAGAATTTCTTCCCTGAAAGGGTTGTGAAACCTTGAAAGAGGCTGCCCAGGGCAGTGGTGAGGTCACCATCCCTGGGGGTGGGGGGATTTAAAAGTTGTATCCATGTGGCACTCGGGAAACATGGTTTAATGGTGACTTTGGCACTGCTGGGTTAATGGCTGGACTAAACTTTTTGGCAATTAAGTCTGGCTATTTTGGCAACAAGAGGCATCATGAATTATGTAGGTAATTTCTCCCTTTAGGAGTTGGTCCCAGCCCTGAGCTGCCCTGGTAAGAGCAGTGAGGCACCTCAGCTGGGCTGGGACCAAGGAACAGAGCACGTGGAGTGTTGGAAACGAATTGAAACCACAGAGAACTGGGGTAAAAAATGAGATCCAAGCCTGATTTGCAGCAGTTCAGTCTAGGAGCTGTGGCTGTGACCATGCCATGGGCAGGATGTAATGGAACCCACTTAATGTATTATCTGGGACTTGAAATGAGGGTTTCTTCTTCTCTAAAAGCTGGGCTTTCATCCCAAATATAAACCTGGCTGTTCAGGTAGGTGTAAGGGAGGATTCTAATCCTTGAGGCTTCATGAAAATCAAGAGATACTGGGTTAAAACCCCTTGGAGAGGGACCTGATCCGATCCACATTTTGGAGCACAAACTCTAGTTAAGTAGAAAAGTGGCCACAAACAGCAGCATTTTGGTTCTTTCTTGAACTCCAGGGCCCTGTGATGTCCTTGGAGGAAAGGGAGGTGCTGGGAAGCAAAGCCTCACTCCTCATCCCCTTACTGGGCTTTTATTAGACTCTACCACGACGTTCCTGTTCAGATTTCAGCACTCTGACCCCTCAGTCACCTTTCTCATATAAACAATCATTACGGACCAGAATCCTGAGGACTGGCAGCAGTTAGTCAGGACAGATGGCCTCTGCCTCTGACAGCTCCAAAACATCACATAAGCCTCATCTTTTCAAGAAGGCCTTTACCAGATGGGTCTAATTTAAAGCATGGCCTTTCTCATTTCTTCCTGAGGGACAGCTAATTAAGTGCAGAATGGATGTCTCTGCTCCTCCCAGGGCAGGAACAAGTGGGTGTTTGATATGGGAAACATTTATGGTTTGGTTCCAGCACATCGGAGAGGAGAGATGATGAACTCATTAGAATAAATATCGACAAGTGTCTTGAATTCCCATTTTTCTGAGTTTACTAGAGCTGCCCCAAAAGAGGCCAGTTCTTGAGCAGTACCTCGTGAAAAAATGTCTCTCATTTTTTATTGCTCTGCAGTGACCAACCCCAATTTGACTTGTATTATTTCTTATCAGTCTTGTTTTTAGTCTGCTGCCAAAATCTGTGGCCATGGCTGAGGAGCTCAGAGAGCAGCTCAGAAGAGGTTGAAACAAAGCTCTTATCCTGTTTTCCAAGAGCTCCAATACAGTTGTTTCTGGCTGTTGTTTCCTACCCAGTTGTCCGTGGTGGGAAACTTTATTCTCTTTCCTTCTTGTGCATCAAAACAGCTCTGAGAGATTCTTCTCCTCCAGGCAGGAAACCCTGAAAACTCTGGATCTGTTCAATTAACTGCATTACAAACCGATTTCCAGCCTTGTCTCTCTTCTCTTCCATGAGCTATAAAATCCCTCCTCTCCTCACCTCCCCAGTTAAACTAAAAATGGCCTAATTTTTTTAACATCCTTTTTACAAGCGTGTCTACATGGTAGAAATGAGGAGTTCTGGCTTATCTTGTTATTATGTAAATATTTTTGTGCTTCTAGAACAAAGTTTTTCTCTCCCTTTGATCCAGCTTTCTTGTAGTCAGTTTAACCTCCAGAAAGAGTCAAGAGATTCGTGGAGATTGCCACTGGCATTATTCCTGAGGAAAACTGGAGAGAGAAAAGAAAACTCAAAATTACAGCTCATTTAGAAATGGAAGCAAATGAAAGGAAGAGATTGTCTTTCAGCCTTTTTTTAAGCAACTTTTTTGCTTAAAATATCTGGGACCAGTGTAAAAATAGCATCTGCATTGTGTTACAAGATGAAAGTGGTTCTTTTCCAGCAGCCTGGGAGGGTGCTGTGCCCCAAACTTGTGCTGTGGGCAGGATCTCCAAATTACTGGAATTATTTTTATCTTTCCATACTTTGGGAGTTTTAGCTGATTGCTCTGGACTGTGCTGGCAGCAGGGGTGAATAGTCTTCCAAAAAGAGAATTTTAGGATAATTTCAAACTCCCACAAGAAGAAGTTGATTCTAGTTTCACCAATTCCAGGGAGTTATTTATGACTGTAGTTATGGAGTTATTGTACAGAGTTCCATTTCCCACTTATAAAATCAGGACCAAAGCACCAGTGCTAATGGGAGGAAAAGCAGCAAACACTCTGTAGTTAAAAATGTTTATTTACACTTAAAAGTGATTGTACAGAAGATATAATAGTAGAGACTTTGGCAGTCTTTTGGGTAGGAAGAATGAGAGCAGAAGGTCTGGCTGAACTCATGGTTCTGTGCCAATGACTATCATCAGCTTGGTTTCCTGTCTGGAGAAAATATATGTATGTGGGATATATATATATGTATATGTAGGTCTTGTCTGTGTGTTTGCCTGGATGTTTATTAGTTCAGCTGTTAGCACCTCTTCGAAAAAAGAGGGCATGCATTGAAGAAACAAAAGCAGCTGAAGATGGTTCCAAAGTCATGGGTGTGAAGGGAAGAGGGACCACTGCACTCGGAGTGTCTGCCTGACGCCTTCTGGAATCACAGCCAGAAGTAAAAGCTGGCAGAGCTTTGTTCTGCCTCGGTCCTCCCCTTGCTCAGAAGAGCTGACTGATCAGTCCAAATGTGCTGAAATTGGGGTGAGGGTTTCATTAGCCTTGGGTCAGACCCTCAGCACTGGATACACTGGTTGCTTGAAAATAGGTAATTAATGGTGCTTTATTTTTTCATGTTTCCAAGGCAACACAACCCCCCAGGACATTGTTTTCCAGTCCATGAGCAGAAGCTTTTGGCTGCGGCAGAAGTTCCCCTCTGTCTCATCTGAAGCTTCTCTAAAGGTACCAAAACCTTATTTCCTGTCATTATAATCTATATCCAAAAAGTAATGACAATCAGATGCTGCTGATGAAATGATCTGTTCTCGCTGCGGAACTCACTCAATCAGTGGAGCTCTGCTGTTCAAATAGATAATTAGTGTTGTGACAAGTGTGACTGTAAATGCCTCAGTTTGGTGGCAATGTTAGGAAGTGTGACAAAATTAAATTATTTGTCTGCCTTCAGCATGGCCCTCCTTGGATTGCTAATGAGGGAAATTCTTGTTAAACACATGTCCTTTTCTGATCAACTGCTTTCCAGGCTCTCAGCTGGGAAAATGATTTATTATTTGGATCATCAGGGGCACGAAAGGCTGGACTTTCCCTTATTTTCTCTGACTTGTTTCTTTTCATGTCTTTAGCTGGTGTAACAGGTTACTGCTTGTGTTCCAGCATAAAATGGAATGATCCCCTAAAACGGAATCACCAGGGAGAGCAATCCCAATGGACACCTTTCCTGCCTGTCAAAATCCCCTCTTTAGAAGGAATGAGCATTCAGGTGCTCCAGTCTCAGGGGAACATCTGCAGCACTTTTCCAAAAATTCAATGTTTTCTTACAAGGGCATGAAACCCTCCCTGAGTGCTGCTGGGGGATTCCAACCCTGCACCCTCAGCTGGTAATGAAGAGGGGAAGCAACTCCATGTCCCTCCTCTCATTCTGCATCCCAAGGAGTGTGGGATTTGGGAGGCTGAGGGCACTCCCAAGTTTCTCTGTCCTGATGGGTAATTTTGGATGTCCCCCTGTCCTAGGAGTTGCTTTGAGTTTAAATAATTATCAGGGGCTGAATTAATGAGCATCTTGAAGCTGCACCCTTTCCCATGGCTCCCAACAGGATGCTTTTGATCCTTCCTTCCTTCCTTCCTTTTTCAGCATTTGCCAATGCCCTGATGTTCCCCCCACCCAAAGGGAATTAATGGCTGAGCTGGAATGAAGAGCACAGCACAGAGAGCAGGCATGGCCCAGACCTCACAGCACTAATTATGCCCTTGAAGGGTAAGAAAATAATCTTTTGGGTACATTGGGAAGAAAGTGTCTTAGCAATGCTGCATGGGGTTACTGGCACGTCTGCTGTATTTGTGCATTTGAAAGAGGGAAAAAAAAAAACAACAACACTTTCAAAGATACTTCCTGACCTCAAAAAGATCAGCAGGGAGCTCAAGAAAAGAAATTTAATTCCAAGTGAGTTTATCAAGTTTTCTTGACCCTTAAGGATGGAAAAAGCAAAGGAAGGATGCACATGAAGGTCCCGCGAAATTCTAATACGGAAACACTCTCATGCACAAAACTGTGAAATCTCAAAGCAGAGAGTTTAAACCCAAAGCAAGCGAAGAGCACGGGTTGAATTACAACAAGGGGCAGCACAGACACTGCAAGGTGGCAGTTCAGGTGATGAAGAGGATCCATGAAAGGAAAGGTGAGTGTCTGTCAAAATATCAGACATTCTGGGGAGGGGAACTTGGTGATGCATCTCATGAGAGGCAGCAGAGTCAGGGGATGCCAACGAGGTGCCCACAGGCACCACATCTGAAGTGCCTCTTCATATCTGGGTAAAACCAGAGCAACGTTCACTCAAGTTCTACCCCTGCTAAACACATCCCTTTTCATTGCTTTTCAGGGGTTTCAAAGCCATTAGCATAAAACAATCCAGGTGGCTGTATCCCCTAAGAGAGCGAGGGCCTGTTTACAAACTCGTTTTATTTTCACAATATTCCACTGTTATTTATTTCAGACGGAGAGCTGTCAGATTAATGCACTCCCTCATGCAGGACAGCTTGCTTTATTGCCTGTTATTAAGACATAACATATATAACCTGACAGGCACTGCCCACGTCTGCCTTTCCACCACTGAAAGGCAAATTAAGTTGAAAATGGAGATCTCCAATATTTCTTTGGGCTGAAGTGATATTAGTTTTTAACTCATTTTGTATTCATAGAGGATCCTGCATATTTGTAACATATCCAACAGTAAGCTGTCCAAAAGAAAAAGTTGTTTGTTTGTTTGTTTTTTTTTTTTTTTAAATTCTTATTCCAGCTACCTCAGAGAAATTCAGGCTTTAGAATACAGTTCTGCTTTTGAATAGGGAATTGAAAAGAATGCAATTTACAGTACTGCTTTACTAAAAACTGTGACTGAAACCTATCCTTCTTTCTTACTAGATTTCAAATAATAGTTGTGACAAAGTGCTGGTTGGTTTTTCTGGAAGTACCAGTCAGAGTGGAATGGCAGAACTGCCTTCCCCACCATCCACAGTTCTTGTTGTGTAAGCAATGGCATTCATATTTTTCATTATTATTCATTAGTTTTCTTTTTTTTTTTTTTTTCACCCCAGGACTGAACTGCTAATTTTGGGCAGTCACAGGAGCTGCTCTGGAAATGCCTGCTAGAGGTAAGTTTTTCCCTTTCCTTATGCCTTTATTGCCCCTTCACCTTTTCCTCCTGTACTTTCCCAGTGACAACTTATTTTGTTCCAACTCACTGGAGAATCAAGTCAGCTTTATTAATGCAAATAACCATTAACTTAATTAACATGATATAAGAAACAGAGAGTAGTTCAAAGAAGACTTATATGGACACTGGGGGAAGCAGAGTGTGTCCACCTCCAACCACCTGAAAGGGAAACCCCCATTTATTCAATGCACTTGTGTTGGCATCACTGTTAATCCTTGTGGCAGCACCTGGATCAGCTCCCTATTATGAAGGTACAATCCATGCTTTAAAAGCTTATTCTGTGGTGCCAGGGAGAAGGTTTTTAGTGCTGAGAAGTCTGGGCTTTACAGGAAGATGCAGCTGTGTAGGAAACGGGAAAATGCAGTGGAAAACAGGATGTTCAGCTTAATGCTAAATAGTGATACACTGAATAAATTACTAGAAAGAACTAACTCTTCTTCAATATAATTACATTTGGGTTTCTTTTCCATTTCAGAAGAGAGGAAACAGCCTAATTGGATAGATGGGGAATGAAGCCAGGGAAAGGGAATGGCTTTTTGTCCACTGTGCTGTAAACCTGTGGGCAGAGGTGGAGCTCAGCAGCTCAGGCCCAACCACTTTTAGATGCATTAAACCCCCCAAATGTGCAAATATATAATAGGAACAAGCAATAATACTTTGAAATATTCTATTATCCCTCAATGTAATAAATATTTTATTGGAGCAATAGAAAAAAATGCATACAGATAACCATAGGATACACACACAACTGGAAGTCTTAA